ATGACGGTAGCCCTGTACGATACGACAATGATCCAGAGTTTTATGGCATGGGAGTAGAACCGAGGAGAAGGAGCAGTAGAAAGAAGAAGAAGAAGGGCTTGTTCAACGGAGGAGTCACATGGGTCGTATACATTCTTACGGCAGTGCAAGTTGGCGTATTTATTGGAGAACTGATCAAAAATGGTTCGTATATACGGTGACTTCGAGGCTGGACTATGTGCTAACAAGATATCCAGGTATGCTAACCGGCTCTCCCATCCAAACCAAGCCAAACTTCAACATCATGATTGGCCCTTCGCCCTACGTCCTCATCAACATGGGTGCTCGCTTCACGCCCTGTATGCACAACATCAAACGGGTAATTGAGGCCAACCCTCCGGTCGAGTGGCCATGCCCCAACACCACCGTCATCACCCCAAACACACCGCAGTGCACCTTGGCCGAGCTCTGCGGTATGGGCGGCGGCGTTCCTGACCAGAGCAACGTAACCGACTTCAAAGACCGAAGCCACGAGCCCAACCAATGGTGGCGCTTCATCACCCCGATGTTCCTCCACGCAGGTGTCATCCATATAGGCTTCAACATGCTACTGCAATGGACCCTCGGTCGCGACATGGAAAAGGAAATCGGCCCCTTGCGCTTCGCTCTCGTATACTTTTCCGCAGGCATCTTCGGTTTCGTTCTCGGCGGCAACTACGCACCCGACGGCATTACATCTGTCGGGTGCTCCGGTTCTCTCTTCGGTGTCCTCGCTCTCAATTTGTTGGACCTGCTATACAACTGGTCTACGCGTCGTAGCCCCATCAAAGACTTGCTCTTCCTCCTCCTCGACATGGCCATTGCCTTCGTCATCGGTCTCTTACCCGGTCTCGACAACTTTTCGCATATCGGTGGATTCCTGATGGGTCTCGTCCTGGGTATCTGTATCATCCATTCACCCGAGGCGCTCCGAAAACGCACCGGTCAGGGCGAACCACCCTATGCAACCGTGGATACACAGCCTCTCGCCCCGAAAAGCGAAACCTCAGCGTCGAAAGTCACGGCGTTTGCGAAACAACCAATTGGGTTTTTCAAGGGACGAAAGCCCCTGTGGTGGGTGTGGTGGCTTGTTCGTGCTGGTAGTCTCATGGCGGTGTTTATAGGGTTTATACTGCTGCTAAGGAACTTTTACGAGTGGAGGAATACCTGTAGTTGGTGTAAGCATTTGTCTTGTTTGGTAAGTCATTCTCCCCCCCTCCCCCGTCATTTGCCTTTCGTCTAGTGGAGAGGCGGACTTGGACTAACGGTTTACACAATAGGATGTCACGGTGAATGGTGTCAATTGGTGCGATATGGGTAATTTGAAGCTTCCTTCGAATCAGACTAGCAAGAGGGATCTGGGGGGTCTTATATAGGGACATGGGTTGCTTTTAGGTACGGAGATGTTGCATTTTTTTCTCTTTGTTGTGAGGAATTGAAAAAAGCAAGCATTGATACCACCCCCATGCATGGCATGTCTTTTTTTGTTTGTAGCATATAAGTTGGGTGGGTGGGTGGGTGGGGGGGGGTATTTGAATACCCCGGACCGTAATGAGTATGATTTTTCTACATGTCGCCTTTTCAGTGTAACCGAATGAAAGATGAAGAGAAGACATCAAAGCTATTTGACCAGAGTACACATATCGAGTACTTTTTTTCCCCATGTCCATATCCTGTTACTCCTTTTTTCCCCTTCTTTTGCATACCCACGTCCTATTCCTCACTCAAGTTCAAGCTGCCACTAGCCCATCCACGCTACCACTGCGAAGTCTCTGGGGGACCCCCAATCTGCACAGTTGGACCAACTGGCTCCTTCCAGTCCGGAGGCGTCGTGACCTTGTACTCGAGATAGCTAGCAACCAGCGGCCTATACATTTCCATGTGCCCCGTCACATCGTCCCTCACCAGCACGTTCTTCGTGTTCAAGTGGTCAGGTCGAGTTTTTTCTTCGACGCTGAGAAAGCCGCCTGACAGCCGATCGAGGAAGATGTTGAAATCGTCTGCTTTGTTGATTTGGCAGCGAGCGCCTTGAGACTCGCAGTGCGACATGAGTGCCGTGGCGCTGTTGAAGTGCTTGAGACACTTGGGGCATTTCATGCGTGTGACGCGGTGTTCGCCAAGAATGTGCTTGTTTAGGTCGCCGACACAATCGAAGGTTTGTCTGTATATGTTAGCAAAGGCGAATCGTAGATATGTGTAAATTGTGTCAACTTACTCGCAGATGAAGGGACAGTGGTACTTGCCCACTATGGCGTCGTAGAACTTCTCGGGGTTCCAGTCAGTACTCATGGGATCCCAGAAGCGTGAGCGCAAGATGTTGATGCCGTGTTCCTGCTCCATGGCAGCGTCATGAGCCAAGATAGAGAAGTCTTTGGGAGGATTAGGCTTCGCATCGGGGAACAGCGTAGCAGCAGTGGACTTTTCCTTGCGGCTGACCCAGATTTTAAGCTTGGGGCTAGATGGACGTGGCACTCCTTTGGGGTGGAGAGATAGCTCATCCATGACCGGGGTGAGGGTCGTATCGGGTTCAATGGCTTTGAAGTCGACTGCCTCAATCTCCTCGTCATCGTCCAACGGATCATCGAGCACGATACCACCTTCCTCTTCGTAATCAATAGCCGCGTCGAACTTGGATGTCTTTTGTCGAAAGCGGTCCAATGCCGGACCGCATTTCAAGAGCTCGCTGATCAGTTGCTTGTGAATGATGTGACCCTGAAACTGCGATGCCGAGATCACACCGCAGTGACCAAATTCAAGGTGCTCAATGAACAGGGAGGCACGGTAGAAAGATTCGTTGCATCCGATGCAGGTTAGCTTCTGGTCAACCTTGTGGTTGAGCTCGATATGGCGCTTCAGACCAGAGGTGCTCTTGAACTCGTCGCCGCACACACGGCATGCACGACCGTGTTCTGCCGGGCGTGTAATCTTATGCATGGCATAATCTTCGAACGATTCAAAGTCCTCATCACACTTGTAGCAGTAATCATGCTCGTCGGAATGTTTTTTGTGGACCCTCATCTGTTTCTCGGTATCGAAGGACATGTTGCAGTCATTGTACGTGCACTTGAAGCGCCGGATTGGCTCGAGTGAGGCAGGCATATTGGCTTCTGCTGTTGAGGCGAGAGTGAGTAAGTAGAATTGCAAAGTAATGGTAGTTTCGCTCAGACAGTTGTGGACTGCCTCTGCGGGTACGAGACAGCTTATGTGATGGGTAAGGTAAGATGTCAAGTGAATTGAACAAAGAAGGGCAAACAAATTTACCTTGGCAGGGTCTGGGAGAGAAGGATGTAGAAAAAGAATTCTGAAGCTAGGAGGTGATTGGAACGTTGCTAGTATAGAGGGAACAAGCGGTGACTGATCAAAGGTGAGAGATAGGTGAGGCAGGAACGGTGAAGTTTGGTAGGTGCGGAGGAAAGTACGCTCTAGAGCCACAACAAACCCCTCTTACCCGTGCAATATAAACAGGGTAAGAAAATAATTTATACACTATGAAGAAATCTGGTTATTCTGTGACTGCGTCGCGTGAATTACAACACCTTCTGCGTCCTTGAGCGCTCGTATTTCCATGAATGCAAAAAATTGAATTGGATAGGTATCTTGAATGGTCTAGAATCGCGAGTATGGCAACCTGAATCGTCATTAGCGATGAATGAGGAACTTTACTTTGCAGCAAACGTACCACTTGCCCCTCAGGGTAATCTTGGCCCACTCGCCCTTGTCATCAGTTTCCTTCTCCACCTTTGTGCTGAAAGAGATGGCGCTCATGATGCCATCTCCAAACTTCTCATGCATGACGGCTTTGTAAGCCTGACCATAGTTTTGCACAATCTCATAAAGACGGTAGATGGTAGGGTCTTTAGGAGGCATATCGAGAGTGCTGCCTCGGTTGGGGAATCCACCCAACTGGGACTCAAGCTTTCCTGGGTCAATCTCAAGGACCTCAGAGAGTTTCTGGACATCCTCGGGTGAAGCCATGGCTTGGCCGTAGAAGAGGGCAGCGATTGCGACTTCGTCACGTCCTACATGTTTTGCAATGGCTTCAAAAGTAAGGTTCTTTTTCTTCTTTGCCTCAAAGAGTGTTGGGGATGACGGGGGAAGGCGAGGGATAAGCTCCTCCTATATCTACATGAGCATGGCTCGACTGGTTTTCAGAATTTGTAGCAAAACATACGTTTAGAGTAGCAACAGGATGTTCCCCCATGGAGATGGGAGTTGAGTGGAAGCATCTTGCAGCAGTAAGAGGGACTACAGGCCGGACAGAAGTGAATGCACGAGATGCCAGTCTGGCGGAGACTGCAAGGCGGGGAGAGAAGGCCATGATGTAGGAATTCGCCACAGTGTATACAGCGAGAATGAAAGATTTGTGCGTATTATAGGGTAAAGAAGAAAGTGCAGCCGTTCGCGCAGCGGGATAATAGATATACATAGTTAGAGGAGCAGATAGATGTACAAGGGTACGTCATCCATCGCAACGGCCATCATGATTACGCGAACTTGTGGGGTACATGATGATGCAAAGCTTATCTATTTAACCCGCGGATGCCCCTGTGCTGTTCCTTTGCTCAATAGCCTGGAATGTTTGTGAAGCGTTGGCCAGCAGAAGTAGTATGTGTGCCGTCGGTGGCAGTGAGGGGCCAAGGGTGAGGGGTGAGGTGAGGGGCACGGAGGACGGGTACGGGTACGGACAGGCGGTTGGATGCATGCCATCACTATCCGCCCCCCCATGTATCGACTGCAATGCTGACCAGGAGAAGTCAGGGTACGCGCAATTGATTGGGCATCGGCGCGGATTCCAGCTCGTCCGTTCGCCAGCTACGTCGTCGCTCACACCCTTGCTGACCCTCCTGGCGCTAAGCCTGTGACGCGGGGCTTGTCCGACCACCTCGACCTCCAGCTCCGTCAGCTCTTGTAGCTCCCAACAACACAATCGTTCCAATTCCTCTCTTGACACTCACTCTCCCAGCCTCTGTGCCAGCACCGCCATGTCTCGCCGAGACGACGACTTGGCGTACGGTGAGTACAATGCCCAAGAAGGGCAGGAGGGCGATCGCGGCCTCATAGGCGACATGGGTCGGCGTTTTGGCTTTGGCAAAAAAGAGGTGAGTACCTACATACGCCTCCTCCAGACGCCATGCTGTCATTGCATGCTCTATATCTACTACCAGCTTGCTGTATCCCTGGGGCTGCCCCACCATGACCGTCAAAGCGCCAGGCTAGTCTCGTCATTCACTAATCTCGCCCGCTTTCCTGGTCTTTTGTTCACTGTATCGCCTTAAGAGAAGCTTGGTTCTCCAAACAAATCCCTAACTCAGCATATACAGAATACCCAGCCTCAGTCTTCATCCTCACAGCAAGGTGGCGGTGGCGGCATGTCGTTCTTCAAAAAACTCCATGATCCTCTTCATGATTTCGTCTCCGATCTCAAAGATGCCATAAGTGGCGACGACAACAACAATCAGCAGAAACCCCCAGCGGGAACATCCGAGCAGACAGGACAGTCTGTAGCCGCCCAAGAATACCATCAACAACATCGCTTCTCCAGCTTCGCCCCAGAACGACATGGCAACGAGACCAAGTGGTATGTCGATGGATGCTCGTACATGTACGCCGTATCCATAGCTCTCGAGCGCGCCAAAGAGTCCATCTGGATTCTCGACTGGTGGCTTTCCCCCGAGCTCTACCTTCGCCGTCCTCCTGCCAAGAACCAGCAGTATCGTGTTGACCGCATGTTGCTTGCTGCTGCTGAGCGCGGCGTCAAGGTCAACATTATTGTTTACAAGGAGGTTACCCAAGCCCTTACTCGTAAGTTACTGAACCCGTTGCTGCCCAACTATCTTCATTCTCTCCTACCGAGTTCGACGGACATGTTTACCAAAGCGCTTACGCGCATCGGCCTGGATATCATATTCAAATCGCTTGAAGAGTGGGAAAAGACAGATCCGCTGATTGCCCCACCTATTACAGTCTCCTCAGCCCATACAAAACACCACTTGGAAGATCTCCACCAAAACATTGGTGTTTTCCGACACCCCGATCACTTGCCTGACGCCGCAGTGCTGCAATCGAATTTCTTCGCTTCTATGAAGAACATGTCTTTCACTCCGGCAGCACTCGCTCAACTCCCAGGAGATGGCCTCAAGGCAATCTACGGTGCTCACGAAGGCACAGTCATGTACTGGGCTCATCACGAAAAGCTTTGCTTGATCGATGGCCACATCGCATTCATGGGAGGACTAGACTTGTGCTATGGCCGATGGGACACCAACCAGCACGCAATTGCTGATGCCCATCCTGGCAATATCGACAGAATTGTCTTCCCAGGTCAGGACTTTAATAATGCTCGTATGCTGGGTAAGTTGATATCTCAAGTTGCAGGGTTTGGTCAATATTCCATAGCTCTGCCGGCCAAGCTTTAGTCTGCTAGTAATGCTAACTCGGATATAGACTTCCAGGACGTCACCAACTGGGAAAACAACAAGCTTGACAGGACCCAAAGCTCTCGTATGGGATGGTCCGATGTTGCCTTGTGTGTCTCCGGTCCGGTTGTTCAGGATCTGCGTACTCATTTTACGCAACGCTGGAATTTCATCTACGACGAAAAGTACAGCAAGAAAGCCACCCGATACGCCAGACTACCCGATACCAGCAGCGGTGCTCAACAGGCGCCAACTCAACAACGGGATTTCGAAGGAGACGAAGGAGAGCGTGGTTTCGGTGGCCATGAAGAGGGTGATCGAGGAATTTTCGGCCACGGTGGTCTACGCCAGAAGATGTACAGCAAGTTTGATCAGTACGGTCAGGGTCACGGTTCCTACCAACCTCACCAACAGTCCCATGCGGAGCACAGCTCGCAGAAGGGTGGTGTCGACTGCCAAATTACACGAAGCTCTGCCAAATGGAGCCATAACCTGGTCACCACTGAGGTCAGTAAAAGCGCACACCAATATTAGACAACCTAGGCTAACAATATATAACAGCATTCGATTCAAAATGCCTACTGCGAAATCATCCGCAACAGCAAGCATTTCATCTACATTGAGAATCAGTTTTTTATAACTGCCACAGGTGACCAGCAGAAGCCGATCAAGAACAAGGTCGGTGCGGCCATTGTTGAACGCATTGTCCGCGCTGCGAGAAATGGCGAGAGGTACAAGATGATTGTTATGATTCCGGCTGTGCCGGCTTTTGCGGGTGATCTGAAGCTCGATGAAGCACTCGGTACCCGTGCTATTATGGAATGTGAGTGACCAGAGACAGTCATGTCAACATCAGGCAAAACCAAAATTTGCTAACCACTTCATCAATTACAGTCCAGTACGACTCCATCAACCGTGGTGGTCACTCGATCTACGAGGAGATTGCCAAGGCAGGATTCAACCCAATGGAGTACATCCGATTCTACAACCTTCGCAGCTACGACCGTATCAACTCCAGTCAGGTCATGCAGGAGACGGAGCAGCGCAGTGGTGTTTCTTACACGCAAGCTCAGGAGGGCTTCGATGCTGCCCACGACAACGCACGTGGCTACCAGGCTTATCGTCCCCCGCCTACTCAGGAATATGGCGTGTACGAAATGGACGGTTCCTCCGCCCCTCAACAGCAGTACGATGGTGGCCCACAAAGCCAAGGCAGGAAGAGCGACTATGACCGTTACCAGCAAGAAGCAATGAAGGTCGGTGGGCGACAAGGCCTTGGCGATGGACGCTGGGATACTGTCAGCGAGTGTTACATGCTCGGAGGCGAGGACATTCGTAACGTGCCCTGGGAAGGTAGTCCCGATGCTGAGATGGATGCTTTTGTGTCTGAAGAGCTATACATTCATAGCAAGCTCTTGATCGCTGATGACCAGGTTGTCATCTGTGGGTCCGCTAACCTCAACGACCGCTCGCAACTTGGCGATCACGACTCTGAGATCGCGATCATCATCCACGACCCCAACACGGTAGAGTCTTCCATGGACGGACAGCCATGGCGCGCGTCCGAGTTTGCCGCATCTCTTCGAAGGGAAATCTTCCGAAAGCATCTCGGCTTGCTCAAACCTCAGGACATGGAGCGACCAGATGCCAACTATGAGCCTGTAGGAATTCCCAACCAATACGATTGGGGATCGCAGGAAGATCGCCAAGTTGTAGACCCCATCTCTGAAGAGTTCTGGAACCTATGGAACTGGAGAGCACACACCAACACACAGGCTTTCGGAAAAGTGTTCCACCCCGTGCCCAGTGACGAGGTCAAGAACTGGAAGCAATATGACGAGTACTATTCTCGCTTCTTTGGTCAGGATGAGAAGGCCAAAGAGAACAAGAAGCCGTCATTGTACAAGTGGGGCCATGTTGTTGCCGAAAACTTTGCTCCAGGCGAGCAGGGTGTGCGCGAGGTCAAGGAGATTCTCAGCACGATCAAGGGCAACCTCGTTGAGATGCCATTGCTTTTCCTGAAAGAGGAAGACATTGCCAAGGAGGGTGTGGGGCTGAATGCTCTTACCGAGGAGCTTTACACTTAGTTTAGCGGGCTGAGTATGTTGTGGTGAGCTGCACCAATTGGGTTTGGATAGCTAAAAGCCCATACCGCAATGAATACAATTGACAAGGTTGAGCTTTCATAAAGACTGCAATGTGCAATGTGCAAATGGTACATGTTTGTGTATGTATATCGGTAGTTATGGAGGCAAAAGGAGTGTACTCCTGAACGGCGGCGAGAACCTCGTACTATCGGCGGATGTTGAATCCTAGCGCTGATCGCCCCTGGGTAAGCGTCGCGTATGTGAACTCCCCGGATTCGCGCGCAATCGTTGTGCGGTTTACCTTGGGCGTACGACCTCTTGTGTCGCCATGCCTCGATTACTCACGGCTCGAAATGCCGCGATACTCATCAACGTCGCACTCCTGACCGCCCTCTTCCTCCACCTGAAATCCGAACTCTGGGACAAGAGCGCCGTTGCGCCCGGACCGGCCAGTCTGACACACCTACCTGACGAACTCTACGACGAGCAACAAGCGAGCGACCAGTCGCACAAGCCAGAGGAGAAGCCGCTCCAAGCGAATGGCAGCGTCAAGGCGCAGCGAACGGCCGTGGTAGTCGCCAGCCAAAGTTCCGAGAACGCGACGTGGCTCGACGAGTACTTTCCCGAGTGGGAGAAGAACATCTACCGAGTCGACGACAAAAATGCGCCTCTCACCGTCCCCTTGAATAAAGGTCGCGAAAGCATGGTATACCTGACGTATGCGTCCTCTTTCCCTTGTACATAACCTACATTCCTATCCCCAAACAAACAGAAAAAAAAAACTAAACAATGTCCAAAACAGCTACATAATCGACAACTACGCCTCCCTCCCCGACTACATCCTCTTCCTCCACCCAAACCGCTACCAATGGCACAACGACGACCCCGACTACGACGGCGTCCCCATGCTCCGCCACTTCCAATTCCCCTACCTCGCCCAACAAGGCTACGTCAACATCCGCTGCGCCTGGTCTCTGGGTTGTCCTGCTGAAATTAAACCTTTAGCGGAAGCCGGAGAGCACCGCGAAGCCGTACATGCAGGGGGCGATTACAAGAAGGCGTTTGAGAGGCTTTTTCCCGAGGAACAGGTTCCCGTGGCTGTGGGCGTGAGTTGCTGTGCGCAGTTTGCGGCGACGAGGGAGAAGGTGAGGGAGAGGAGTAGGGAGGAGTATGTGAAGTATCGAGAGTGGATTTTGGAGACGGAGTTGGGGGATGCGATTAGTGGGCGGGTGTTTGAGTATTCGTGGCATAGTAAGTTTCCTTCCCCCTTCCTTTTCCTTTTTTTTTGAATCCCAGGGAATGGGTTAGCGGGGGGTTTCCGGTTGGGGCTGACTTGAATTGTTTTTGTGTGGAAAATAGTTATTTTCGGGAAACCAGCTGTGCATTGTCCGACGGCTAAGAGTTGCTATTGCAATGTCTTTGGGCTTTGCGATTTGACCTGTAGGAATCAGGGCAGTTGCGAGGGACGCTACACATTACCGCCTTACTCGGTGCTGCCCAAGGGATGGCCGTTGGTGGGCTGGGATGGTAAGGAGAGGGAAAGAGCGGCTGAGGAAGATTAAGGTGATTTTGATACCCCCC